GTTCAGGGAAAAGCTGACTAGGCAGAACAGAAATACCTGGGTCAAGTGGTACCAGCCGTGCAGAGTTAGCAAAGCAGAATTGGCCTCATCACTGACAGCTCAGCTAGATACATTAATAGGAACAAGGCTTTTTACATCTTTAGCAATATGTTCTTGAACTAAATAAAGGTCGTACACAATGACATAGCTCCATATGGGTCAGATGCTGGAAGAGGAATCTTAATTCTGTTTAACTATCAAGTCAAAATTCTAAGGAGCAGTCCGGCAGACTGCAGCATGCCATGTCCAAATGCTGGAATTGGAGAGAAGAGAAATGAAGAAAGACCTTATGTACTTCTCAGAGCAGTGGCCACAGTACAAGTACCTTCCAGGTAGCTAACTAATAAATAGATATGCTTTCATTGTCTGTGAACAAAAAGAGACAGTAGATAAAAAGCAATGTTAACACCACTTGATGACATTTGAATTGTTTTCTGCAACCACATACCGAAGGAATGCACATGATTCCACTTACAGTCAGTATCATTTTGAAATTGTGATCATGAGTACAACAGAATCTGTAAGGCACTTAGGCTGCTCTGAGAGGGTCTGAATAAACCCTAAAACTAACTGACAGATGCATAGCTTCATTTCTTAATTTTTCCTAACTCTCAAATTATATCTTCCACTTTAGCCCCCTGTCTAAGGCTAAACATATCCTGAATTAGGTTGTTTTTTCTCTTCCTTAAACTAGATTAAGATGGATGAAAAGAATCTTTGTGAGCTATCAACATCAATATAATTTCCTATGAAAGGTTTTACTAACTGTATTCATGTATATCTTTTATTCACTCATCACAGAAATCCTTATGATTACCTTTTCATGTTCTATAGAATAAAAAACTGAGGCTTTGAGAAATGATTTATCTTAAGTTTGTTCAATTATAAAACTAATACTGTTATCATTGTCTTTATCTCTGCCTTTTAACCCTAGTCTGTCTCATAAATGCATTCCAGTGTGATAATGCTTGTCCTCACTATGTCCTGTCTGTTACAGATAAATAGCCTATTTATACAGTTTCCTAATGTCTTAAAATTCGAGGTTCATTATGGACTAGAGGTTTTGGAGCATACAAACTCAGTAATAGCCTGTATATCCTTGCCAAGAAAGTTAGAATGTCCAAGTGTCTTTCTTTGCCTGTTTCCTTCCTTCCTAACATATTTCCATCTTCTTTTTTATTGTTTCCATCTTCCTTCCTTCTTTTCTTCCCTTTTTCCTTCTTTCTTTCTTTTCTTCCTTCCTTCCTTCCTTCCTTCCTTCCTTCCTTCCTTCCTTCCTT